AAAATTTGCAGTACAAAAAAGTTAGTGCGTATTTGATGACCAGATTTTCAATTTTTTTAATACTCACAATATGTATAAATTTTTTAAGAAAAAAAGGTTCAATAAAATATTACTGAAAAAATTTTATTCAATGATTTCGATATTCACTTTGGTTGTTCTTATTATTTCGAACACGTCTGTATATACAACCGTTAGGTAAACAAAACTATTATACTCTGTAGCAACGTGTTGCTAGAGTATAAAAATAATCTACCTATTTATAAATAATTGTATTCTACTGTAATTTTGAGTTTGTTTAAGAATATTTCAGATATATTCAAGTTTATTTTTTAATTAATACAAAATATGGGGACTGGCAACCCTGCGTTTAAAAGAGCTGACTCGTTTCTACAGAAAAAATCCTATTTACAGATGATAGAAGCGGTGGTGAGTTTTCTTTTACATTGATGCGCTGGACAACTGCGTTGTTTTGTGTACTTGCCGGCCATTGTTATGTTGCTGCCCTCACACAAACGTTCTTGTAGTAGGATTCACATCGCCATTTTCAGTTCACTCTCGTGCTGCTGCAGTCTTTCGCTAGCATTGTGTTCCACACATAAGAGCTTATAAACTAGCGAATTCGGCACAATTGGGACGAGTTCATAAAATTCTTCTTAAACGCTAATTGCCATACAATTTTTTGACTAATAAAGCTAAAATATTGGCTTCCCTTCATTTTTTCTAAAATATCCATGCTATAAAAAAACAGCCGATCTTTATATAAATACATAAAGGTTTTTTATATTAGCTGTCTACGAAAAATGCACTAACTTACTTAAAAATAGATCACAATTTTCGTAATTCAAAAATTAGACCAAATATGAGTTATTTTAGTAAAAATGCGTGGGAATAAGTTCTCTAAAATATAATACTTTATCTAAAAGCCAAAACTAAATACTTATTATCTTCTTAAATTTTCCCAAATCCAATATAGTGATTTCCTAGCGGACATATATTTACACACGTGTACATACATATATATAAAGTATTATATTGATATATGCTGAATTTAAATAAGATCGGTGTAACTTCCTATGATTAAATATAAACACACTTAAACCTGTTATCTAAACCTTTAGAGTAAATTATTATTTTGCAGGCGTACAGTTTTGATATTACAGTAGTAAGCGATTACGTTAAGTATTTATAAGATATCTTGTTTACTAACGTAATTTTCACCAAGTTTTCCATTATCACGGAGAGGTGTAGAAGTTGAATATAAATAATAAGTACATTCATATCTATGTACATATATACTGGATGCGACAAAAGCAAGTAAACGAAACAAGTAAGAGACAAATTCAGTGAAGAATGAAAAAAAAAAACAGATAATTTGTATAGATTCAATTGAATATACATATGTAGTATGTGTACAAAAGTGTGTACAATATATTTATTGGTATGAGAGCTAAGATAATTATGTGAAGGTATTTAATTGAGACAGACCAAAGATGTCTTGGCATAGTAGCGCATCTAATTACATAGCTCGCTCGCATCTGAAATTTCCGTATAATGAAATTATGTGAAAAAGTGAAGACTTCCAATTCAAAATAATTTTACTATTGCTTATGAGTAAGGAAAGTGAAACGGTATATATAGCTTCCAATCAAGTATTATACTATTCGCAATTTGTGAGACAAAGCACTACGTGATAATGCCTATATTTATGAATAAATGTGGGTACATTTGGTACAATTTTGTTAGAAAGTGAAAATAAGGAATGTCTGCATTTATAGTTAGTGTCACATCTTCAATCGCTCCAGGGGACAAAGTCTCTTCCATTTATTCACAGCGCGGAATCAGTAACAGCAACATCACTTGCGACACCTCCAACTGTTATCTTACTAGTGCAGATACAGCTTGTAACACAGAGCTCAATGGTCAAATCCGTAGCCGTAGAAGTTCAAAACTGAAAATCGATACGGAAAGACGAAAAAGCTCATGCAGTCCAGCTTTACTTGAATTCAGCTTCAATAGCGGCATAGGTATGGGCTCCAGCAGCTTTACTGATAATGTTTCAGTAGTGGATGAAAAATTCAACTCTAAAACAGAAAATATTAAAACACTTAAGAGTGGCACTGATATTCTAGGTACAGATATTGATAGCATGAGTGGCAATGATGACGCTGACTTTCATGGTAAACTTGCCAATTTCGTTAGCATCGACAATGGCATCAGCAAATACTCTACAGAAGAAATAAGTTGGAAATTGAGGTACGAACGGCTGCAACAGTGTCGTCTCATCCTATTCACGCTAGATCGGCAGCAAACCAAATACCGACAATTGCGCGAACGTCTCAGGTGAGTTACAGTTAACTCTTAAATACAATCATTACATTTAAAGATCAATATTTGTGACACCTTTATTTCAAGTATACAACTATTAAATTGTAATCAGTTTAAAAACCATGTACATACATAATCCTACTGTGCTTAGAAGAAGTCAGTCTGCGCAATTCATGACAATATCGCATACATTTATGTACCTGTACTTACATAAATGCCAAAAATGTTACTTGAGATACTAATATGGTAAGCATTAAAATGACTCTTTAAGGTTTTGCTTATCGATTTTTTGTCCAGCTATATAATAGTAAGATATGATGGATGGCATTTTTGTGTGGCTTTATTCCATTTCATTATTTTCAAATATGTATTCACAGCAGTAAATTATTTCGAAACCACTTTTTGTATTTTTTGAATTTTCCTGGTCTATCTGCTCATGTTTTCTTGAAGACTTAGAATTTCCCTTAACAGTGCAGGCTAGTGTATTAGAATATGATGAAAATGCTTTAAATAAGTCTTCCATGATGTCTACACTCCATGAGAACAAACATATTTTGAAGTTCGGGACTGTTGAATATCAAAATCTAAACAATACACTCCATTCAAAGTAGCAGATGGTTATTATAATAAATGTAAACAACATTGTCATTATAAAAAAATAAATGTAGTAATATGTGTTTGAGATTAGTTTTTATTAATTTCAAAAAGTAAATACACAACTTCTAAATATTAACATTTTTTTTGGGACCTTAACTGTTCCAATATCCTTATGTTATATCCCAGTCTAAATCTTGCTATGGTTGAGACAAAGGTTTCTTAAATGAGCAAGCGACTGTTTTTCAAATCACGCGACTATACTTTCAGTTTACACTTATTAATAGTATACATATGTATGTATATGTACATATGTAGGCTTTGGTTTACCTTTACTTTTCCCACAATTCAATGTATGTTATTGTATTTCGAATAGTAAAAGTTCAAATGGTTGAAAAGTCAGATCGGCAATTTAAAACAGTTCGGTTTTTGCAGTTCAACGAAAACGTGAACTATTTATTACAGGAGAAATAAAACAGGAGAAAAGGATACCTATAGATTATAATGTAATTTTATTCTTATAAAGAAGAAAATATGTAATTCATTACCTATAATATAAAAGGTGTCGTTTTAATTGTTAACAAATTTACTTCTCAATAAGAAACATTTAAAGTATGTATTTTGAAACAAATTAACTCGCCGCTAAAGCCAACACGGTATTAATAAACCTTTAACTTCATTGCTATAATTAAGAGCTTTCTACAGGTAATCTTAATTGAAATAAAAGCTTTCGTTATCTTATTCAGTCATTTGACTTTTTGTGGAACTTTCATTCTTATCTACAGAATGTGTTCATATATTAACTTTATGAGTATTTATATTCATATGTATGTATGTTTAAAAACTAATTGTTTGTCAAATAACTGCAGGTATTATGTGGAAATGCAATCGGCTTCTGAGCATTCACATTAATGAAGTTGTGTTCGTGTTTGTGTGACGCTCTTTCCGCAATTTATTAGTAGTGAACAAAAAATCTAATAGAGATAATCCAAATAAGAGTAAGAAATTAGTAAACATGAAAGTTTAAAGAAAAGCTTCTAAATTCAATGCTTAGTGATAAACGAGACACGGCTTGCTGGACTAGTTGTGAATCACGATAAGTACGGTGAACAACTCCGCGATATATTTTTGGTTTTATTTTAAACTTACGTAAATAACATACATATTCGCGGTAAGAAAGTCTATGCTCGATATCAATTGGCCTCTTTAAAGCTATATTGCGTTTCAAAATTTGTGTTAACGTAATAAGCCAATATTATTCCGAAAGAATTTACATCCATACTACATCCATACATATACATACATATGTACCTAAATACAATTCTTCATATACACACATACATAAATTGGGATAAGCGTATATGTATGTGCGCTCAATACATACATAGATACATATATTGTCGACGGTAAAATCAGCACGTTTAATTTATTTTTCAACATGAGTAGTTATGTAATAAAGAGTTTTAATTAAATATACTACTCTGGCCATTAATCAACAGATGTTTATAAAGTGTCTTCAAACATTGCATATGTAACTATCGTGTGGAAAAAAATTGATAATAATATACAAACATACATTCATATGTATATGTATACAAATGTGAAATATTTCAATATGTCTACAAAATAATCTTTGAACAGAAATAACTGATCCATATGTGGTTTATAACCATCATAACTTAAAGAACACGATTTTTAAGTTGAGTATGCGGAAATGTGCACAATGTCATTGTCCATTTTGCGTATAAGTAAATACATATGTACATATGTATTTAAGTACATAAATTTCATTCTGATGTGTGGAATACAATGCTCGCGACAGACTGCAAACGACATCTGTCAAATATTAAAATACACACGTTCTTAAGGACGGACCTATTTTGACAGCTGCACGACTACACGACGGCAGGCCGACAGTTGTCGTTCTCGCTAACTTAAATTTTATCCTATATTTGCCAACGACAGTAGGACGACAATAGAATTGACAGTAGAATGGAAGATAGAGAGATGAGGTAGAGTGGTGATACCACTAATACGTAAAATGTAATATTACTCAAAGCTCTAACAAACCTGACGTTATTTTACAAATAAAAGCATAAAATAGCTCTGTTACATCATTTATAATAACAATTGATAATTTAAAACAAATAAATTTACCTATTTACTTATTTTTTTCTTAAAAAATTCACTTTGAACAAAATATTAAAATTTCATTGAAATGCAATGCGTAGAAAAATAAACAGCCGAGATAAGAATGCGACGTATTTCTCTTCGTATGTCGTATTATTTTTGAACCACAACAACGATACATCTCAGTTGTGCCAGAATGAAGTTTGGAGGTTATTTATGTAAATTTCATGACCTTTTCTCTGTAAATACAATATGTATTTTTCACAAATAACGTCATAAATCAAAGTAGAAGACGTTTTTGCCAAAGAAAAAGTTTCTATTACGCCCTTTTTAGTCCACTTATGATCAGAATTTTATTTAATATATTACATATTATTATTCAATAAACTTAGTGTTTTTCTATTTTTGCTAAATGAGAGATAATTTAAAACTTTAAATCAATCACCTTACAAAATCAACTTGTTTGAGTTATGACACTATTCATGTAAATCAGCGATACATATGTTTGCGACGGGTGACCAACAAAGCATAATTAAAAATCGATAAACGAATGTTCATAGCCCGCGAAACTTGAAATTAACTTTTTTTGTTAAATCAAAAAAACTACAGTTAAAGTGTTTGCATAAATCATTCAAACAGCTTAGCGTTTTTCCATTATAGACTAAATTTTAGTAAAATTATTACCCGATTGATTATGTTCATTACCACTGTCTAATTTCTAATCTACTAAATGCAGATGCACTCTACTAAGAAAACCCACCCCGGCACACGTGATGTTGCTTAGTTCAGTTGCAGTGTGGAGACGCTTACAGCGGTTTTACCTTTTTACCTACTATTTTATCGCACACATAGAAAACGTTAAATATTAACGTTTTAAGTATTTTTGGATAGTCATATTTTTTTTAAACAAATTGTTTGGTAGTTGTTCTAAATAGGTTATAGATAAAGCACAAAAATCTTTTTGCGGTAGTGCTACCATTTTTGTAAAGGTCAAATTATAAAATATTTATAAATCAGAAATTTAAAAAAATCTATATATTACGTTAAACGGCTATAAGAAAAGAGCTACACAATTGACTACGTCAGAAATATCAGCTGTATATATGTACATATGTAAATGTGAAAGTATGTATGTTTATAGTATGTAACTTCTCTCGCTCTCTCTGTGTGTTAACATACGAATCCGAATAGTTTATATAATCTGCCATCAAATGCAAGTCGCGGAAATTTCACCACACAACAAATGCAACAACCTGTTAGCAGGCATCAGCGCAGTTATCGGAGTCATTGGCGGCGTTTATTTACTAACGTCGGGCGCCAAGACGATAATTGAGTAAGTATAGATATACATATGTATGTATATGTATATCATATGTATGTACAGTGAAAACTCCCTTGGGCGGACACTCACCGTCAGTCAACTTTTGTCCGCCCATGAGAGGTGTCCGCTCAATGGAGTGGGTAGCTATTTTGTAAATTTTTAATTTTATTATGTCCTTAATACTCACCACTTTCAGATTTAATTGCAAAAACAATTCATATAACATTGTTCAAACAGGAATTTATGTATGTATTATGTACTTCAAAAATTCATGTAAATTCACATGAAGTAATATATAAAAAATATAAATATTAAATTCATTGCTTGAAAAACAGGGTTATTGTAGACTGGCTTAAGTTCTTTTGCTTTTTTAAAAGAAAATTGTTTTGCAGATGGCTTTCCAAATTTTGCAACAATCCGAATGCAATAAGGTCGTCGCTACAAAATCTTTTTAAATTTGAAACGGCAGTCAATGCGGTTTCGTTTGAGAAAATTTCATTTCTTTCTTCGGTAGTACTCTGATTATCAGTACTATTATC